AGACATGGCCTGGCAGTCCTGGCCTCCCCACAGCCAGCTCCAGGGCCCCTCTACACTGAGGGGTCCTCTTGGACTGTGTTCAAAATTTTCACTAAGATGAAAAGCCAACTTACTGTATTACAGTTGGCCTTTGTTTAGGCCAAGTAAAAGACAATTTGCCAAAATTAAAATGGAAAATTTGGAGTCAATTTTAAATATGTTTTAAATGAGGGAGTATTGCATGTGCATATGTGAGTGTATGTGTGTGCGCGTGGTCCTCAGTTAGTGTCACCAGTTGCTCAGATGTTCTTGAACACCAGATAAATATAAAGGAAAGTATCTTGATTTGGTCTGCATATAGCGTTGGGATTGTTCAGTCTGGAGAAGTGAAGTCTGAGGGGTAATAGCCTAAAGAAAGTCACTATTAAGAATTAAATTTTTTTTAAAAAGCTTAAATGGTTTCAAAATGGCTTAAAGACTTAAATATAAGACATGATACTATAAAACTAGAAGAGAACATAGGAAACACATTCTCAGACATAAATCGTAGCAGTATTTTCTTAGATCAGTCTCCCAAGGCAAAAGAAATAAAAGCAAAAATGAACAAATGGGACTTGATCAAATTTATAAGTTTTTGCACAGCAAAGGAAACCGTAAACAAAACAAAAAGACAGCCTGCAGACTGGAAGAAAAAATTTGCAAATGACGTGACCAACAAGGGCTTTTTCCCCCCCCAAAATATACAAAAAGCTCATATAATTCAATATTGAAAAACAGACAATCCAATCAAAAAATGGGCAGAAGACTGAAATAGACATTTTTCCAAAGAAGACATACAGACAGCCAACAGGCATATGAAAAGATGCTCAACATTGCTAATTATTAGAAAAATGCGAATCAAAACTACAATGAGGTATCACTTCATACCAGTCAGACTGGCCATCACCAAAAAGTCTGCAAATAATAAATGCTGGAGAGGGTGTAGAGAAAAAGGAGTCCTCCTACATTGTTGGTGGGAATGTAAATTGGTGCAGCCACTATGGAAAACAGTATGCAGGTTCCTTAAAAAACTAAAAATAGAGTTATCATATGATCCAGCAATCCCACTCCTGGGCATATATCCAGAGAAGACTCTTATTCAAAAAGATAAATGCACCCCATTTTCACAGAAGCACTATTAACAGTAGCCAAGACTTGGAAGCAACCTAAGTGTCCATCAATAGATAAATGGATAAAAAAGATGTGGTGTATCTATACAATGGAGTATTATTCAGCCATAAAAAAGAATGAAAATTGCCATTTGCAGCAACATGGACAGACCTAGAGATTATAATACTAAGTGAAGTAAGTCAGGGAAGGACAAATATTATATAATATCACTTCACTTATACATGGAAACTAAAATATGATACAAATGAACTTCTCTACATACCAGAAAGAGACTCACAGACAGAAAACAAACTTATGGTTACCAAAGGGGAAAGGGAGGAGGAGGGATAAATTAGGAGTATAAGATTAACAGATACACACTACTATATTAAAATAGATAAACAACAAGGATTTACTACATAGCACAGAGAATTATACTCAATAGCTTGTCTTTAAAAAAGGAGAAACAGCTTAAACTGCTGCATGAGATTTCTTTATTAATGAAAATAATTAAATATTGAAATGGATTATATCAATAGAGGATATGGAATCTTCTCTAAGGGTCACTGAAATACAGCTTGTCAGCTACTAGATAGTTTAGCACTGGTCCCAACCAAAGGAAGAAAGGACATTTCCCCTATTTTCAGTTGGAGTAAAAAATCCCTGTAATGGTTCTTCTAGCTTTAATCTAGGTATCTGCTATGCATTTATAACCAAGTACATTGAAGTAAAATAGCTTTCTTAATAATACATTATTTTTGAGGAGAGCTAATGTGGACTAGTAAGAAAAAGAATTTTAAAGTGTATATGTAATTTATTGTAATCATTAAATTAGGATCGCATTTTGAAAACCAACACATCAACAAAAAATTGGGAGAAAACTGTATCTCAGGACCTTGTAGACTCTGAAAAATCATCATCTACCTTTTTAAATTATACCTCTTTCATGCCTTCATTTCTAGTCCATAGTCACACTCCATAGGAATGGACATGACTGTGACAACACTTGCCATGTCCTAAAGGGCTTATCTTCCCCACTTTGCCTCTATTAACAATAAACCTAACACCAGAAATTGACACATTGTGTCTATACTTCAATTTAAAAAAAAAAAACCCTGAGCAGTCATAAGTATTTAATATGTGACAAAAGTAGATTGTTCAATAAGTGATCTTGGGAAAATTGGTTAGTTCTTTGGGAAAAAAATGAAGTTCGATCTTTATTTCAAAGTGTAATCCAAAATAAATTCCAAATAAATTAAACGTCCAAAATGAAAATGTAAAATAACTGGCAATCAGTCTTTGGATAGGGAAACCCATTGTAAAGAAAACAACAGAGGAGGAAAATATTATATGAAAGATTAATAAAGATTCACAATCTAAATGTTAAAAGCCTTTGTTGGTTAAATACACACACATGCCAAATAAAAGCTAACTGATATTCTAGGGGGACACCTTCCTAGTATATGTGAAAAATGGCTATTATTAAAATTTACAACTGGTCTTTCAGATTAACAAAGAAAGGAGAATTCATCAATAGGAAAATAGACCGAGAACATAGAGGAGAAATTCTCAGGAAAAAAAAAGGCAAGGACTAAATAAAAATACGCAAAAAATGTTCAACCTCACTATTCATTTAAAATCGAGAAAAATTTATAAGTAATTCAATGAGATACTCTTTTCAAACCAAACACATTGACTGCTATTAAAAAGAATAGTATGAGAGTGGCAATGGTAAGGGAAGACCAGCCCTCGTCTACCCGGCTGGCAGGAGTGAAATGGGTGCCTTTCTGGATGGCAAGCAGGTGATATGTGCCAACAAACTTAAAACATACTAATTTGACCCAGCAATTTCACTTCTACGGATTTATGGTAAGGAAGTAATGTTATACAAGGATAATTATCATGTCATGGTTTAAACTAGTGAAAAATTGGAAATAATTTAAATACCTAAAAAGAGGGGATTGGTTATATCAATTATTAGATATCTATAGACCAAAACACCAGTCATTAAAAATCATTCTGCAGATGAATACTTGTGGGCATGGAAAATGTCCAGCCTGTCACTAAGGCTAAAATTACATGTGCGGTATGGTAGTATTAAGCACATTATTGTGGGGGGGGAGCTGAAACAGCACAATAAAAAGTTCTGAGAGTGAAAGGATGGTTTTCTGTTTCTTTTCGTATTCTTGCTATTGTTGGCTGAAATTCTATCTGCATCAAGCATACAACACATACAAGAAAGAAAAGATCATTTTTAAATAGTAATAAAAGAGAACAAAGGAACCCCAGTCCAGGTCTATGGAAAACCAGTCAGAAGTGGACTAGTGGTTCCATGATTAGTTTGGACTCTAAATTTTAAGCAGCTTAGAAATCAATGGTAAATCCTTGGGCTGACCACAGGGTCCTGCTCTGCCCTCTGAGGATCCGTTATCTCCAGCCCCGTTCCAGGAGGTGTGGGCGACTCTCAGGTGTGCCAGGCACCAAGTGCTGGGCCAGAAGGAAAGCTAAGGTCTTCACCAGTCAGGAAAAGGAGGTGCCCGAAGGCACTCAAACACGATGATAGACTGCGCTATGTCAGGTTTTTACATTTTAGAAGCTGCATGTTTGAGTCGTTTGCCTGTCCATCCTGCCTGCCCTGCTATTTCTAGGTGTTCTGACAGGACTTTCCATATTGCAGCAACTGGGGAATTACTAAGCAGTCAGCTAATTAATAGAATTTCTACAGCCAGTTGCAAGAAAAATACCAAATGAGAAACTGTAAATCAACAAAGAAGTGTTTATTCCTCGTGAAGGAACTGTGATTACCCAAATTCAAGACATATGTCAACTCTTCGAGATTTCTCAGGCAAGAAAGCAGGAAAACATCTCATTCTTTTCCTCACCCTTTGAAGTTTTTTTTTTTCAGGGTTACCTAACAGATATTATTTTTCATTAGTAACTTCATCTGACAGACAACAAACATTTTCTCCTTCATTCGGTAGGGTCAGAAGGTTGCAGCTTCCTACTATATCATCTTGGTAAGAGGGACTCTAAAGCCACTTGCAACCATATATTGTTACATGACCTTGATTTGTAGGGCTCGGGAGTACAATGGGCAAAGAATAAACACAGGATGTGTTCTTCACTCTGAATTGTTTAGTGTTAAAATAGCACACTGAGTGGTGGCCGCCAGTGCCACAGTGACAGGCATTTACACATGTATGTTGTGCCCTATTTTGGGGTTTATGAGAAATCTGTGTGCAATCAAAAGAGTTCTAGACCTGGGTACCTTCTCTTTTCTGGGTACCAGGGAGAGCTGGAGCCGAGTCCTGCAGAGGGTTGTATGGGGCTCTTGAAACCAGGGTTAAAAATTTCCAGCATACGTTACGAAAAAAATTATATTCATGACAACAATTTGAATTTGTTTAAGGAGGCAGCATGTTAAAAAAAAAAGATTGGAGATTCTGGAATTAGACTTAGTTCAAATCCCTGTCTTCTTTCTTATTAGAGGTATGGCCTTAATCTCAAAAATTCATAAGGCACATAGAGCTTTATGGTGCATTTTCAAACACTGCCTCACTTGATCTTTGCAATTATCCCACAAGAAAGATATGATTACCCCTAATTTACAGTTGAGGAAACTGAGGCTCAGAAATGGTAATGTCCTAAATCATGCAGGATAAGGACCCGTACCTTCTGAGTCATAGTCCTGTGCTCTTTCCACAAAACACAAAATATATTCTAACTAACTAGCAATAAAGAAAATGAGTTGAAAGGAAGATGGGCAAAATGCAGCCTTTGTCAGTAGCCCAGGCAGCACTCCTGATTTTGACTAAGTTTGCAGGTCCAGGCAGTGTGGACTACCACTTGTTCCCCCAGGACAGCAATGCCCTGCAAATGGAGCCACTCCCTGGAGTCTCCTAGGGAACAGGAGTCAGCTGGCCTCTCTCTGCTTGTCCCCATCAGCAAGTCAGTCTGTGTTGAGCCAAGAAAGTGGCAGGTGGGCTACATCGGATGACATCTTCATGTGACCATGAAGGTGGTATTCTGCTAACAGAAGGGAACTCAATCTCAATTGGCCAAGTCAATTAGGAATTTGATTCTACCTATAGGAAGAGGATTTTATACATCAGCACTCATAATGGTCTCCATTAACTTGTATTACAAAAACTGGTTGTAATGTTAGACCAAGGTTTCAGTCTGAGCTACAGTGAAAGCTCCACAAAGTGAGAGCTAATTCCACCAAACTGACTTTGCCTCTTGCATTTGTGGGTAGTTTCATGACGCTAGTCAGGATCATTAGCTCATTTTACTACCTGTGAGGTCTTTTCAGCCTCCACTGGGTCTTTTCCCTGCCAAATTCTCCCTGATATTATAATTCAGGAGCTTTGAGAAACATGAAATTTATGATCTGGGATTTTGCTAGTTGTATAATGCAATGCTCTCAATTTCATTAAAAAAAAACTGCTTCAAAATAACTTTAGGGGATAAATTTTGTGATGCAGGACAACATTAAAGCTGAATTCTTCAGAGGGCCAGATGTCCATGCCTCAAGTATTAAATTCCCCTCCTAGATACAACTCTCTCGATAGCATCATAATTAAAAACAGAAACTTCTAAGCAAGATGGATTTTTTTTTCCGTTGTCATTTTTTTTTTCATTTTAAAACCCTTTTTACTGAAGCATAACACAGACATGAAAAGTGCACAAATCTAATGTGTACGGCTCAGTGAATTTTCTTATTACAAGAAATTGAATATAGTTCCCTGTGCTATGCAGTAGGTCCTTGTTGTTTATCTATTTTATATAGTAGTGTGTTAATCCCAAATTCCTCATTTATCCCTCCCCCACCCCCACTTTGGTAACCATAAGTTTGTTTTCTATGTCTGTGAGTCTATTCCTGATTTATAAATAAAATTTGTATCTTATTTTTAGATTCCACATATAAGTGATATCATGTGACATTTGTCTTTCTCTGTCTGACTTACTTCACTTAATATGATAATCTCTAGGTCCATCCATGTTGCTAAAATTCCCCTTCTAGATACAGTTCTCTCGACAGCATCCTAATTAAAAGTTTAAACTCCAAAGTAAGACAGAACTGGGTTTCAATCTCAGTTCTTACAGTGAGGCCTCAGATGAATTACCCACGTCTTTAGGCTCAGTTTCCTCATCTGTAGAATGATGATAATAACTGCATTTACCTCATAGAACTATTATGAGGAATTTAAATGAAACAATGCTTGCAACATGCTTAATAACTCCTGGCAAATCTCATCGCTGAAGAACGTAACTGCCATCATTATTCATCAGGTATTTGCTCCCTGCCATGTGGCAGACGCTGTGCTCATCCCCGGAGCTGCAGCAGAAGGAGACGGTTCTTCTCAGGAGGCCAAGGTAACTG